CAGATTCTCAGGGTCAAAATTGAAAGTAATAAAATATAAAATTTTTAAATTACATTCGAGTTAGTTCTGTATCGTTTACATATAAGGCACTGCCCCATAACCCTTTTAAAAGACCCATCAACTCTAATTTCTTGTGGTGTGTAGCCAAGGGATTTCACCCTTCTTTCTGCTCTTTCTTTTTTTGATCCTTTTGACTTCGGTATTTTATCTTTGATAAGAAAATAATTTTGATTAATTTTATTTTATTATGAGTTTACCCTTTTTACCCTTCGGATTAGCTTGACTCTTTGGCCCAGCTTGACTTTTTTGCCCAACTTGCTCTGCTTGTTTTGATGTTTGATATTCTTGTTGGCTTTCTAGATTGTTTAAAAGAAAAGTTAATATTGTAATGATAAGTAAAGGGGAGAATTAGATTGGAATATGAGATAAAGATGATCCTTGTCTTGTTTGGGCAAACCCAACTTAAAAGATAAGGAGTACCGCAAGCGAGAGGTTGTTGAATTTTGGAAGGCCGTAGGTGAGAAAATTCACTTTTTTAATACACTGCGTTCCAAAAGTATATGCACCCCTAATTTTTTGATTTTTTATAAATTTTTCTTTGATATTTTGATTAGACTTTTTGTCTAACTATTCTTTTAGATAAATGTGTATGTTTAAAAATCAAAATAAAAATTTCCCCCATCCCGTTTCATTTTTATGCACATTTATGCAAAAATTTACTGTTTCAAAAGTATATGCACCCCCTCATAAAATTTTTATTTATCAATCAAAAAATCCAAAAAAATTTCTCTAAAGATATCTATCAAAATAGATTAGAAATACAAAAAAATGAACTTCTAACATCATTTTATCATCGAGATCTAAAGACTCGAAAATCAACGGATCTCCCAATATTCATTCACTCTTAGAGGAATGACCATTCCATCAAAAACAAAGGTGACAATATAAAATTTTTTTGCACCACAGGAGAAATTTTTTAAATCTTGGATGGACGAGAAGCCAAAAATTTTTTCTTGTTGGCGCTCATAAACATACCATCTGGATTCAAACTTTCATCTCCAACAAAGACAGGAGTCATTTGATCATCCCAAAAACTATGTGGAGTAAAGGGTAATGGTGTAAACGCGGGCTGATAAGTTGTTGGGTAATCGACATGTCCTGTTTGATCGGCTTGTTTTGACACTGAAACTTCTTGTTCATGACCTAAATTGGTTTATCTTAATAACTAGAACTAGATTCCAGGTTTTCATTGATATAAATGCTTTTACAAACACAAATTTCAACTTTTTTTGTTTAAATTAGAGTTGGCCTGAATACTCATACCAAATGAATGAGATCTATGCAGACTTTTGTAATTGTTTCCTAATGTAGTTTCCCTTTCACTATATGTTTATATATCTTAATTTGTATTAAACATACCGTATTCTCTCTAATTGAGCGGCAAGCGTTCTATTTTTCAATCCTCTCTCAAGGTGCCGCTCTAATGGAGACGCCCGTTCAACTGGCGAGGGCCGCTCAATTAGAGAACATATGGTACTTTGAAAACATGCACTCAAATCTTCACTACCTGAAAATGGAGGAGTAGTCAGTTGAGCAGGTGGGTAACTCCAATATTCTTGTGGAAGAGGTGGAGAAAATATAGGCTGATGATAATAATCAGAAATATCGCTTTGGTAATCAAAAGGTTGAGAAGAATGACCAACAACTGGAGGAGGTTGTTGTTCTTGTTGATTATGAAAGGGATGACTGCCAAAAATCTCATCCAATCCGAAAAAACTTGTTTGTTGCTCTCCCTGCGAAATAGGCACTCCGGTACTTGTAGTATTGTCTGGATTGCTTGTTCCTGTCCCCGTCCCGGTGTCGCTTCCCGAAACACTTTGGCGCTTATATGGATCAAAATCCTCTTTTGCACCATCTCTCGAGTGTTTCTTTGGAGGGCATACAATGCTTGTTATAAATAGAAAGAGTAAATAAATACTTAAGAGCTTCATTGCTCTCCTGGAAAATAATATAAACTTTATTAGCAAATATTAAATATTAATTAAAGTAAATTAAAAAAATATTTTAATGGCTATGTTGGGACCCTTATACATATGTATATTTATTTAATAAATTTTTGAATAAATTTTTTTCTTTAACTTAAAATTATTGGATTTTTCTTTATTTGACGGAAATTGACTGAGTAAAGGTAGGGAGGGAGGGATGGATGGAGAGGGACGGAGGGGAGGGAGGGATGGATGGAGGGACGGGAGGGAGGGATGGAGAGGAGGGAGGGATGGAGAGGAGGGAGGGAGGGAGAGGTGAAGGGAGAGGGAAGGGCCTTTCCACGATTTAGAGATGCTGGAAAATTAAAAAACAAATTTTCTAATAGCTATAGCCTCTTTCATAATGTCAAACAGCAATATCAATGTCAAACAGCAATAATCAATGCTTATACAATTGATTTTCAAAAATTAAAATTCAAAAAGAGAGTGAAGGGATATAGTAGGCGAGAGGAAAAGATGGAGTGTCAAGTTGGAAATGTGTTGGGAATATTCATTTATGTTGGGGAACATGGGTGGGGGCTAACTCAAGGAATACCAATTCAAGGAACAGACAGATCAAGGGAAGACAGGTCAAGGTCTTTTCCAACTCAAGGAATGACCAACTCAAGGAATATTTTAAAAATCAGAATTTTAAAAATCAGAATATTTTTAAAAACCATAATTTTTCAGATTTTTTTTAAATCCTGTTTTTCAAAGTGTTTCAATTTGTTTTTAAATTCTTATTTTCTAAGAATATTCAGATTTTTCAAAAAATTTCGATTTTTAAAATATTCCTTGAGTTGGTTATTCCTTGACTTGTCTTTTCCTTGAGTTAGCCTGACATGGGGAAACATCATTTTTTCGTCAGAGGTACTTTTCATAGTAAGGCTCCCTTATTAAAAATCTAATTAAACGGCGGTATTATGACTTTTACTAAGTTATTTATTTCTGGGGAATTTTTAACAAATGAGGTGTCATTCGAAAGAGCTCTAAAACTGAGTCGAATTAGTTGTGGAACAAGTTGATCTGATTGATCTGACATTCCGGGACTGATTTTAAATTCCTGTCGGAGTAGTAACTTTTATTATCAAATATTTTATTAAAGAAGAATTTTAAATAAATTTATACAAAAATTCTAAATAAATTCACTGCTCATTTAATATTACCGTAAATGCTCGAATAATTACCCTCTCTCAAATAATTACCCTCTTTAATAATTATCCCCTCCCTTTCCTTCTCTAATTTCAAAAATATTGAAAAAATCATCGTCAATTTTAATTATTGAAACATTATAAGAATCAATATCAAAAAATAAATGGATTTACTCTTCGATTTATTGAGATATACCCCAAATTTAGCCAATCCTCTCGATTAATTACCCCCTCCAGCGAGAGGTCAAACAATAATTACCCAGGGTAATTATTTGAGCATATACGGTAATTGGAATTTATTTAATGGAAGTTGAATGAGTGAATGTGGGGATACGGGGAGGATGTCCGCCATTTATAAGTGCTGTAAATAAAAATTGTTTTAATAGCCACGTCCCTCCTTCATGCAGGTCGAATACAAATTTTTGTATTAAAAAAAATTTTTTGTACCCATTTTTTGTACCCTTAGAGAAATGAAGGGTATGAAATCAGATGTAGAGGAGGATATGGAGTGTCTAGTTGGAAAATTATACCCAACTTCCTCTTACAAGTCGAATAGAATAATCAATGCCTTTGTGTTTTAAAAAGAGAGTGAAGGGCTAAGATGAGCGAAGATGAGGAGATGACGGGTAAGATGGACGTTGTGAATCGGGAATATTTATTTCCGGGTTCTCTTCCTAAAACGGTTTTTACATTTGCAGAATTTCATGATCCGGAAATGTCTGTCCGTAAATATCCGTCATGATATGTCTGGCTCCAATAATTATAGGGGAAAAATACACCGATCCGCAGAACTTTTTTCCGCAGTTTCCGCAGTCCTCTGGGCAGAAACTTTTCTCAAAGGTCTCCTTTCCCTAATAACATCCTCTCCCAAGATACAATATTTTGTATACTATTTGTCTCGGGATTGGATTTTTAGGTCGTAGAAACGCGCTAACTGATCATCACTGACCCTGTCTTTCTCATTTTAACTCATCACTCATTTATTAGACACGCAAAATTTATGGAGATTTTTGGAGAACATAGATAACGACACAGGGTTATCAATAGGGCTCCCATTTATATGGAAATCCATATTTTTTTCCTGAATTCCTATGACTATGAAACGTACGAAAAACATGTTTTTGGCAGGTTTTAAGGTTTCTAGAATGGTCTTTATAATCCATATTTTCCATATTTTTCCATATTTTGGCATCATGCCCATATTTTCCATATTTTTCCATATTTAGCCTTTATTTCCATATTTTATATCAATATTTCTACTTTTTTGAATATTTTGGTCCATATTTGGTCAATTTTTGGTAAATTTTAGTAAAAATTGGCAAAAATTTTCAAAATTTTTGATCAAAAAATTTTTTCGAAAATTTTTCGGAAAAATTTATTTTCAAAAAAATTTAACAAAAATTTTAAATCCATAAATTCATTTAGAACGTTCTTATAATGCAAGGATAAAGGCAAAATAATTGTTTTCTACATAAAATACTGATTTTAAAAATATCTTTTCACTATTTTTTTATCCATATTTCTGAATTTTATATCCATATTTAGTGTTTATTTCCATATTTATATCCATATTTCAGGATTTTATATCCATATTTTATGTCCATATTTTTCGATTTTATATCCATATAAATGGGAGCCCTAGTTATCAATCCAAAATTTTATCTTTTTTGATAAACAACTCACTGTTTTATAAGCTCGCGCCAAAACGGCCCCGCGCCAAAAGGTCTTAGTCCCTCTCGCGCTCAACCACGATACTCTAAAAGCCCGTTACTCTTTTACATTGTTTTGCATTAACGATTTTTTCCTATTCTTACTCTTTTAACGGTTTTACAAGTTTAGAAAAGCACCAAATTTGCTGATTGTAGTAAAGTTTATGACCTTAATCGAGGATGAACAGAGGCAAAAATGCCGCGATATGAAAAACACGGTTTCTGTTGCAGTAAGGTATTTAAACCTGAAATTTTTGTTTGCTAAATCCAATTTAGAATTCGTCCACAAAATGCAAGAGAAAGGGCCGCAGAGGAGAAGATTTGTATTTTTATCTCACAGGATGAGCCACAGATTACTATAGGACGAGATAAATCCTTCACTTATGGTTTTATATTTTATATCCTATAAAAGCTAAAAAATTCCCTAAGACTTTGTTTTCTCTGACCAGTCAACCCAAGAAGGTGTTTACAATCAATGCATTCATAATTTACTAGTTGGTGCTTTTGATGGTTATAATGCGACTGTTTTGGCTTATGGCCAGGTTAATTCGATAATTTATTTTGTAGCCATAATAGTTTTATATTGTGTTATCGATTTTGTGAGGTTTTATTCGCAGGTTCCCTACAAATTATTTATCAAAAAACGATTTATATGCAAAAAATACTTATCTTGGTGATATAAAACCAAGAAAATTTTCTAGACTAAATATTTGATTTATGGCAAATAAATAGCATCACTTTTGATCAAATTTGCGGACTTTTAGTAGCGATCTAACGACATAAAAAAATAAATTCCCGATTTTTGAATAGAGATTCCCTACCCAAAAAACGTGATCGTCTCATTATGCCATAGGTTTCATTTTACTTCAAAAAAGGATATTTGTAGGTACAAAATCAAGAAAAAATTAGGATAAGACCTTAAAATTTGCGGACTTTAAATAGTATTATAAAAGCAAAATTAATTTATTTTAGACGGGAAGCGGCAAAACCTACACAATGGGAACTTGTTTTGATGTGAATCAATTCAATTTGGATACAAACTTAACTGCCGGAATCATCCCTCGAGCAGCTAGACACCTTTTTGAAGGTATTGAAGAAAGAAGGCTTGAGGCTAAAACGAATGGTGCTGTCGAGCCAACTTTTGAATTAAATGTCCAGTTTATTGAGGTTTTTAGGGGTTTCACAGTTTATTTAAAAATTCCAATTTTAAGCTTTATAACGAAGAAATAGTTGATTTACTGTCCGAAGACCGTTCTCGCAGCACAGTCATTAGAATTCAAGAAGATCCCGTTCGTAATGAAATTGGGCTTAAGGGAGCTACTTGGCAGTCTGCGAAGAGCGCTTTGGATATAATGTCAGCATTAAAAGCTGGGGCTTTGAATAGAACCACAGCTGCGACGAATATGAATCAACAGTCGAGCAGATCCCATGCGATATTTACTATTAGATTGAAACAAACTAGGGTGGTACCAATGGAAGAAAACGAGGTTAAGACAATGATTTTTATATTATAAATTGGGAAAATAAGTCATATGATCGTTTACGAATTCTAAATGTGTTACATATAGAGTTGAAGGTTCCCGATCCGAAAAAGCCCGGAACGTCCTAAATTTTCGATTCGGATTCGTTCTGTTTGAATATCCGATCCGGAAATTTTCGGTTTGGATATCAGATTTTTTAGATATCGTAAATCCTGAACGGATCCAGCCATTCGGGGATTTCCAACGATTGCCAGTCCCAGCCACCTAATAAGCCTTTCTACGACCAGATTTTTATCGGTTGTTAAAGTGACAAAAAAATCTAAACACGAAAAGTCGTTGGAAATTTACTCGTTTACTTGCCACAGAATAATTTATTTAGGATAATGATAACTTATTTAGGACGATTCTCCCAAACAAAAAACCGAACTAGAAGTATTGCATGCAAAGTTTCACTTTGTTGACCTTGCTGGTTCCGAACGGTTAAAGAGAACTGGTGCAACAGGGGACCGTGCTAAAGAAGGGATTAGCATCAATTCTGGATTGGTTTACTTCCAAATTTTAGACTCATTCTAATACTTTTTAGCTTGCTCTCGGGAACGTAATCTCAGCTTTGGGCAGTGGAAAAGTCACTCACGTTCCTTATCGTGATTCTAAACTCACCCGGTTGTTGCAAGACTCGCTTGGAGGAAACAGTCGAACGCTAATGATTGCTTGTGCTAGTCCTTGTGATGTTGACTTCATTGAGACTTTGAATACTCTAAATTATGCTAATCGGGCCAAAAATATTAAAAATAAGGTTACTAGAAATTTTTTCGGGAAACTATAAGTATGACGCATTATCTCTCATTTTTCATCTCCCTAGAAAAAATGAGAAATAAGTAGTTTTTTGATATTTTTAAGGTTTGTCAGTAGGTAATTATGTAAGTATTCAGGATAAATATCCAGTTGACTCACACCTTTCCGCAAAGAGAATACGCACTCCTTGCAGAAAAAAATGCAAGAAAAGGAGTGAAAAGTGCGTGTTCCCGTTGCGGACAGATGGTGGTAGTCAACTGGACATTTACCTTGTTAGAATTCGAATATGAGTCAAATTTTATTTCGAATTCCTGACCCGGTTCGAGCTTGAAGAGACGTGTCAGCATTTTAATTTCTAATTGAATTCGCCTAGTCCTATTTTCAGATCCGGGAGTCGAAATAAAATTTGACCCATATTCGAGCTCAGCGCACTTAATTACCTACTAGTCAATGGCGTATCCAAGGGGTTGGTCCAGGGGCACCCCGCTGGATACACCTTTGCTACTGGTAGACCTAATAAATACCAAAAATCATCTCTTGCTTTTTCTAGGGAGATGAAAAAATGCGTCATATAATCCATACTTTTCCCATTTTCTTTAGATTGTCGCTAATCAGGACAAGTCTTCCAAATTAATAACTGATCTCCGTACTCGTATATCTATTCTTGAATCTCAACTATTGGAATATCAACAGGGCAAACGTTTATTAAATGAAGACGGGGAGGAGTTGCTAAATGATCAATACACAGAGAATCTCTATTTAAAGGTTTGAGGGGACTCTAAAAGGACTATAAAAGCCTTCAAAAATTTTAGAATGAAAACACTCGCTTGTCAACTCGCCTAAAGGCCTTGGACGAAAAAAACAATATTTTAAATTCTAGAATTATTGAGCTGACAAAAGAGCGTGAATTGAGTAAATTTAGAGGAGCGCTAGAAAATAAGGAAAATGATGGATCAAGTTCTAACGAGGAAAATCAGTTATCTTCTATAATTCAAGGATATTTGCAAGAGATTGAGACGTTAAAGTATGACTTTAAAACTGGGAAAGTAAAGCATTCTTGCTAAGTTCAGGTCCAATATAATCGAATATGAGGTGACTAATGAAACGCTTCGTAAACAAAATCAACGCTTTCGGGATGGGATGAATAGCAGCCTGTATGGCTCTCCCTATGTTCATCAGCCACAATCGTCTAACCTTACTGAGAGTTTGATAAATCAGGCGAGGGAAGAAATTGAGATGGATAAAAAGGCGTTGAATGAAGCTGAAGCTAAAAGTAAGCGGGAAAAAGGTTTTAAGATGGAAGGGGAATAATAGGATTTTCTCGTCTGTACGTTTTGGATACTTCCCCCCCCCCCCCAACCCTTCCTAGTTTGAGTCAGATTTTTCCTAAGATATACACGTGGACAGACCTTTTCCTTAAAATTCGCATAATAATAATTTTTATTAATGCCTATTGTTTGAATATGGCAAGGGAAGTAGAGTTAAAGGGAGCATGGAAGGAAGTCTGACCATTATGTACACATTAAGTAAACTTAGATTCAAACTGGGAAGGACTGGATATCCTAAAGTACCTCTCTCCCTTTCTCCGCTTTAAATGTTTTCCTATTAATTTCTAGGCCTTAACCAAGTCGATAAAGAACAAAATTTTCTGGAGGCTGTTTACGAAGAAGAGAATACCGATGATGAAGAGGAGGATGAAGATGGGGAGACTGATCCAGCAGAACAGAGGAGTTTAGGTAGATATTAGAGATCGAGATTTTTGAAGAGCCTGGGCTTGTTCCTGGGTTTGATTTATTAACCTAGGTAGGATCCTTCCCAGGCCCAGAAAAAACCCAGGAAGGTCAAAAAAATGTTTGGGCCTGGACTGTGGGTACAGGAAAAACCCAGGCCTTGGTCCAGGCCCATCTCGATCTCTACTAGATATATTACCTTTTATGGTAGAGATATGCTCTTTATTTTCTTCAGAACGTCGTGACCAAATTCACTCCGATTTGGCCAAACTCCATGAGGATATAAGTATAAAAGAACGCCTTGTGGTCGAGTTGGAAATGAGTCAGCGCAGATTGGAACAGTTACGACGTGATTTTGAAAATAAAATGGAGGAGCTTTGTAAGAGGATTCAATCTACTGAGGCTGAGCGTGACAACGTTCTTGAGCAGATGACGGCGAAGAAACAGACCAAACAGCAGAAGGAGGAGATTAACAAGGTTAAGGAGCAATACGAAAAGCGTCTCTCTGACATGCGCCTTGAACATAAAAGAATAGAAGTGGCTGAGCTTGAAAATAAAAAGATGCAGGCGCAACAAAATAGGCATCAAATGGAAGTTGTTCGAATGAAAAACGATTTGGAAAACATGAAAAGACAAAAGGTTGAATTGATGAAGAGGTTGAAAGAGGAGAACAAAAGGATTCGTGAAATACAAGTTGCTAATGCGCAGAAAGTTGCTACGTATGAAAAGACTCAAAGACAGCAACAAAATAAAATACAAAAGTTGGAAAGGGAATCTGCACTCAAGTCGGAAAATTTGAGACGAAAGGCGGAGGAGGTTCAGCGTCTGAAGGATTCTCAAAAGGTAACGAACTGTTTTAATTTTTATCCTGACTAGGATATTACCTATCAGCAGAGCTAAAATCATGTTTTTCTCAGAATTTATACAGAATACTTAAATCGGGCTGCTATGCCTTTAAGAAGATTTAAAAATATTTTTCCCACACTGATTCGAACCCTTGGCCCTAAATAGTTTTTTTATCTAAATTTGTGATTAACATGCAGCTTCTCAAGTTGTTAAGATAGGTCTAAACTAAAATTTAACCACCCAACTTAACAAAAAAAACACAGACTATAAGGGTAAAATCTTTTTTAACTCTCTTAAGAAGCTTCTTAAGAAGCTTTTGTGTACGTTTATAATGCTTTTTGGCTCTACTCCAGTTTATGCGTCCAATCGAGTTTTATGCGTCCAATGAAAGTTTATGCGTCCAATCAAACTTTATGAGTCCAATAAAAAAATAATTGGATTTTTCATGGTATTGCCAGGTTGGTGTATGGGTCCAAAGCATTTCTTCATGTTCGGGACCAACGCCCACTGGGTCTGGGACCGTTCCTTACCCTATATCTCGAAATTTCGGAAAGTTATAGCCAATTTTTAAAAATTCCGGAAAAACAATTATAACTTTCCGAAATTTCGAGATACAGGGTAAGGAACGGTCCCAGACCCAGTGGGCGTTGGTCCCGAACATGAAGAAATGCTTTGGACCCATACCCCAACCTGGCAATACCAAGAAAAATCCAATTATTTTTTTATTGGACTCATAAAGTTTGATTGGACGCATAAACTTTCATTGGACGCATAAAACTCGATTGGACGCATAAACTGGAGTAGAGCCTGCTTTTTTCACTCAGCATTCATTAGAAATATAATTTTGGCTGTGTTGAAAAGCAAATTCCCTTTAACATATTTTAGGCTCTTCAAGCTCGTCGCCAGACTATTTATGAGAGCAAACGAGCAGCTAGATCACCCAACACTCCTCAACAAGTTCAACTCCCTTCAAGTTCTGATATGGATACAACATACATCGTCGAGAATGAACCTTCTGTGATTAACGAGAATCTTTGCTATACTCCAACAACAAATTATGTCAGAACGCCAAAGTATAAACAGACCCCTATACGAACCAAACGTCAATGGAATGCTATTGAACGGGCGGTGGGACTGACTGAAATTTCAGAATTTAGAGATCTTCTCTTTAAGATTGAAGGCTTTACTGTCAAAAGAAATGCAATTGTACGCGAAGAGCACGCTCTGGATCGTATGTGCAGTGAACGTAGAAACCTCCAAGATGAACTTTTACGTCTTCAAAGCAATTATTCTTCAATAACGGATCCTTCTATTCGCTGTTTAGTGTTAGAACAGCAATCAAGTATTCAGCAAAAACTTGATTATGTGCAAGAAGAAATTTTAAGAGCTCAAAAGGCAATTGTGGATTTGGATGATGAGCAGGTGTTAAATGATTTCTGGTTTTGGTTTATATTAGGGGTGTTACGAGGTTTCAAAATCGAAATTTTTGAGCTTTTTTGCCAAAAATAAACCGTTTTTACAAAATTTATAAACCGAAGACTTATGAAAATCAGTTCAAACCTCAAAATCGAATACCGGGTTTTTAAAATTTGGATTAACCGAAAACCGGGGATACCGGTTAATAACCGACAGTTAACAACCCTAGTTAATACTAAAGGAAGCCTATAAAGACATTTATTATTTTCTGCCCGCGCCCAGGTTAAGTAATACACACAGGGCCTTCTCCTTTTCTCCTTATTGTGATGAGTGTGATGACTAGCTGTAGAGGGTAGAAAATGAAAAAAATCTCCAGCGTTGGAAGGTTCGGTGAATTTTCCTCATGCCATGCTTAGCTGCTCAATTTGTGGAAAAATTCACTGGACAGGTGATGGAATAGACCCTTCAAAGAAATAACTCTAGACCTAGAATTAATTACAAAAATCACCAAAGCCTAATTTATTTTTTCAGATTTGTCTTGAGCCTTCATCACGTCGAGCTTCTGCTCAAGCCTTTCCTGCTGCCTATGAAGGTGTAAAGGATCTAGATTCTTTAATGTTCCAATTCTCCCGACAATTTTCTATCCCTCAAGAGATGCTCTATATTCTTCGCAATTTGATTGATTTGACAATTCAAAAGGGAGCGGATAATACAAGACTTGAATCGGAAAATAAAGTTAAGGAAATCCTTAACCTAATCCTATTAATATGTCTTTTAAAGGAATTAACGGCACTTCTTGGTATTGAATCAAATGAAGATATGAGGGAGGTTGTTGAGTCGGCTAAACTAAATTTTCAGTTGCGTATGAATCAGGAGCATGACACAACGTTTATGGTGTTTATTATAAGTCGGAACTCAACTATAAGATACCCCAGGGCTGTCCCAGTCTACTTTTGATTTTTATGATCAGTTTCGACACACCCTGATACACACGGGGATGGAAAGACATGAATTGTATCCAAAATTCGGGTAGGCAGCTGCCCTCAGTCATAGCTCCCCTCAAGACTACTAGTTATGTCCAAACGTGGAGTAGACAGCTGCCCTCAGTCATAGCCCCCCTCCTCATGCCCTCACTCTGGTCCATGACTCCTAGGCTGGTACCTGACCCACCTATGTAGACCCTCAACAAGAGCATGGCTAATGGCTCAGCTTCAACAAGAGCTTGGATCTAGAGCTTGCTAATTTTAGGTTGTGTGTCTTATAGCGAGTTCCGACTCTATCTAATCAACCCAGTATATCAAACTCCCATTTTCCTTTTTCAGAACGTTCCAGAAAATGACTATAGACCGACCACTCTATCAAATAATAACACGAATCAGTTATCTCTATTTGATGATATTTTACCTGTTCCTATCTGTAAAGGTGATGAACCTTCCCCAGAAAAACGTGGGTTTCCTAGGTACTTTCATTCTCAAACTTTTGCCTTTTAAAGTATCATCCGAAGCAACCTGTTCCACCTCAGATTCTGCTTTGGTTATGTCATCTAATAGTCATAATGAATTAGGGAAAGATGAAAGTGACCTTCCAGATTATAGTAGGAATGATTGTTTAACTGATAGAAGCGACCTTACGGAGCCTAATGTTTCAAAGGCTGGTAAAAGGCACCTAAAGTATGGTTATTTTATTTCTCATTTAAAAACGATAATAAGAGTTATAGCTACAGAGTTCGGACGAATCGTGTCGGGGATCTCAGGGTATTTGAAGTATCAAAGGGTTTGAAGAGATATAGGAGGATTTGGATATATATCCGAAGAAATGGAGACCTTAAGACGATATTGGAGAACCTCATCTCCCGTAAATTTTAATCCCTACATTTCTTTTCCACTCCTCCCTCAATATCTCTTACTCCTTTTCCTTACAAATTTTTTTATTAGCTGAATAAATGTTTTCGATTAATTTGGAATTTTAAGTTAGAAGTGTGATACAGCTGGTTAGGATTTAAAAAGCTTATTAGGCGTGGGTTTAAGACTATTAAAAGGGAAGGTGAAAGGCTTATTTGGTAGGTCATTTGTATGTATGCGCCTAGCAATAACTTCTAAGAGGTGGCAGGACCAATGAATGCCTAGGGTTCCCAATGCCTGCTCTTTCTATTTACTTTAACTAAAATTAGAACGGGGAATTGCTTCACCTCCCTAATTTTAAATTTATTTTTGAAGGAAGGCTCCAGAATTTGTTCCAGTCGAGGACAAGCTCTTCTATAAATTTATCGATCTTCAAAGAATTTATCGAGTTTATGGACATCAAAAGGGTGTTCTCTGTCTTCACTCTAACGAAACTAAGATGATTAGCGGATCAAAAGACAGAAATGCTCTTGTTTGGGACTTGGAAACTGGCTCTAATATAGCTACACTTGGAAGCCATCCAAACATAGTTTATTCGGTCAGATTGCTACCAGATCAACAGAATATGGCTCTTTCTTCTTCTATGAATATTGTTAAGGTGTTTATTCATTTATTTTTGAATTTTTATATAGTCGGACCTAATTATAAGATAAGCCCTAGGGTCAGAAATAAGTGTGATAAACCATAAGACCCAAAAAATCCCGGAGGTTTTGGCTAATCTGAACTTCTGGCGAAGCTCTAATACAAAATAGGGATAGCATTTATAATCCACCAAACTCGTCCGTTTTTATAACGGTGAACTTTGAATTTTATCTCTACTAAAAGGCGTTTTCCTTTAGGATCATTTGGCTCTAGTGTGTTTCCTTTTAAGGTATTATAGGGCATTTTGATCTAAAGCTATCTTCTAGAGTGTTGATCTTGAGGGGTTGTGGTCTTGAATAAATTATTTCTTATACTGAGAGGTACTTAGAGGTGTCTCATGGTCCCTCTCCATAGCCAACCAAATTTTAGAGATGTATCTTAAATAGAGGGTACCTAATATAGAGGTTATTATACTGATAGAGGTTATTATACTCCAACTATTTTTTATTTTCCAGCTCTGGGATTTACGTTCACCACCTACAGAACGTTGTATTCGCCATCTAAGCTCAATGGGTTTGGTCAGTCAAGGAGAGAATGGACATTGTGAACGTATTCGCCAGTTACCTCCAACAGAGACCGACATTTACCAAATGGAAGTTTGTTCAAATTCTGGGGCAAATTTTCTATTTACGACGAGCGCTGCGGGAGTGCGCATTTGGGACTTGGAAAAGATTGAGCATTTGGGGATGTTGAGGGATTTGACTGATAGGTAGGAGGGGAAAAATTCAATCTAAAAAATTTATTTAAGCGGTGATGTCCGTATGTTGGCAGTTTCTCAAGTGTTTGACTCGTCTAGTCAAAATTCGGATATGTCTGTTCGCATTGCAACGGCAACTAAAAAATGCGTGAGTGGAATTAAGATTATTATTGGAATTTAAGGGTCGGTTGTACTGGGACAGTCTTCGGTCATAAGAGAGTCGAGCTCTCGATATTTCAAAAAGTCTCGATTCTTCTTAAAGACGAGAAAAATCTCGGCAGAAAAATCTTCGAGATCTTGATTCAGTACTAAGGTTGGCGGATAGTTGAACATCTTTGGATATCGAGATCCGTATCCTGACCAAAAATTTCCGGATATCCGGCCTTTCTGGATCCGTATATCCTGATCCTCCAACCTAGTCTTAGTTCGATTTCTGTACTTAAGACAGACTATTGTTTTGAACCACGGATGGCTGGGGTTACCCCAAACTCCACCTTGACTTTTTTCGAACCCGATCCGACGAAGATCGGTGTTTTATCCTTATCGATACCGTAAAACACATTTGTTGAACACTAATATTATTTAAATTTTAAGGCTTCTCTCTACGATGAAGTTAAAATTCAAAAGCCTTTCATTCCCTCACGTTGGGTTAATTTGGAACCAGGACATACAAAAACATTAACTTCACTATGCTTTTCACAAAATGCTTTATTTACTGCTTCAAAAGACCAGGCACTCGTTTCTTTTCTCTTTCAAAATTTTTAGCAGGATTTCAGTTGAATCCCTATCCAATCGAGTCCCAACGGCTATAACTCATTAACAGATTAACGGTTTCTAATGTTTTTGGTACCATTGGATAAAGAATTAAATAAACTACAAGGAAGCAAAAAATCAAAATTCTCAGCTTATTTTTATTAAAATTATGATCAAAAAACTAAAATATTTTAAAAAAATGCGATAGTTCAAGACTTTATTGAGCATAACTTTTTTAACGTTCATTCGAGAATTTTGATTTTTTGGTATTTTGTAGTCTATTTAATTCTCTATCATGGTACCAAGAACATTAAGAAGTGGGCATCTTCTCTTGAGTTATTGAGGTTGGAACTCAGCTTGGTCGGGGCTCAATTGAGATCTTCCTAAAAAGTTTTTACTATCTTCCTTTTTTCAGAGTATCATGCGATATTCACTGCTTGACTCAAAGAGAGACCATGTGGAGCAAAATGCCCATAATGATGTTCGTTTTCTTTTTTCAAGGAATATAAAAAATTTTCAGGCAGTCACTGTCTTAGAGGCATTATCTCCACAACGAATTATTTCAGGCTCTCGTGGCGGAGATATAAGAATCTGGGATGTTGGTAGTTCAAACAGAATGGTTTCGATAGAAACGGTATAAAGAAATTGTATTTTTATAGAAGACCTATATATAAGATACGCCCAATACAAGACTAACCTCGTTTCTTAACATTCGGTTGTCCACTTTGTGGTAGGACTGCTTGAGCGATGCCCCTATTCGACCCCTACATTGGCACGGATTTACTTATTCATATCCGGATATATTTGTATCCGTTTATAATCCATGTAACTTCTTATCAATGTAACTTCTTTGGGCTGGACCCCTACCCTGTCTCCATTAACTTTTTTTCTCAAATTGGTCAGAGACTAACATTTTTAAATTGGTCAACCTTACTAAAATTTTCAAAATGGTCAAATCCATTTAAAATGAAAATTTTTAAAAATATTTGTTTGGTTGACTACAGTAATCCCCTCTATTTAATATACACCTCATTATAAGGTGCTACCATTTTTCCACCCCAAGGGGATATCTTATTCTGAGTATTTAGATTATTATTAAATTTTAGCGTCAGCAAGCTCATGACGGTCCAATTAGTGCTATAGCTACAAACACTAGAGTAAATTCGAACTGGCCGTTGGTATTTAGCGCTTCATCGTAAGAAAATCTTTTGAAAAATTTAACCAAATTTTCAAATAAATTTTAGGGATGATCCCGAGGATGCAATAACTATTTGGAGATTACTGGAAGAAAAGCTTTGATAGAAAAATTACTTTTTTGAAAGTTCATGTATTTAATGTGAGGTTGGACCCCGACCTCTTTCTAACCCAGAACCCATTGTTTTAATTTGGCTGGAAAATTTTGAAAATCCTGCAAACTCATTTTCTCGGATAATTTGCGGTGTTGATCACGAATCTGATTAAATTTTAGATAAATTGTGAGTTCAGATTCGTGATTACTGTTAGAAAATACATTAGAAAGGTGTTTGCAGGATTTTGAAATTTTTTTTGGTAGGGACAACAATTCTGAGGGAGCCCAAAACGCCGATCGTTTTTAATACTACCCCAAACATTTATAATCCTGACAAATGCCAAGCCCGGATTTTTTAACCTCGGAGAGTCGGGGGTCTAACTCTATTCTATTGTTTTATAGACAGCAATATTCACTTCAAATTTCCTTCTCATCATATCTCTATAATTTTACTTTCAATTCAATTTCACTTAAAAACCTTGTGCTATGTTGTATCTCTTTAAATATCGGTCAGACCTCACTTATGTATATAGAGTTTAAATTCCAAATTGCCTCTGGTCACGGTATCCTGATTTATTCTTTCGAACTCATTTACGGATTTCATTCTGGAACCCCCTCAAAACTCGGATTTTATCGAAAATGGTTTCCTGTCTATCCGGGAAAACCCTGTTTCCTTAGCTATCTTCAAAATGACCCTTGTTGGATCTTACGGTTAATTTTATCAAAATACCCGTTTTACGGGCTACTGGGCTATGCAAACTCTCATGTCCCTCTCGGTATCTAAATATTTTAACATAAGTGAGGTCAGACTGGATTAATGTACTTTAGGTTGTGTTTATAATTAGCTAGTTTTTATTATTCTTAACTTTTTCTATTTTCCTTATTGACTAAATAAATTTGGTTCTTAGAGGTTGTCGATAATATAGAAATATGGCTTTACCGCACTGGGAGTGCGGTAAATCGTCAAGGTGTGAAATTTTACACTTTTTTTGATCTTGCCGACGAAACCAATTTGTTCAAAGGTGTCGGGGGAAGGGTCCGACGAATTCAAAATTGACAAAACAATTTGTTAATTTTCACACTTATTAACTCTTGACCGTTAAAAAATTAATAAGAAATTTAAAACAAACAAAATTAATTATCTAAATTTTATTTAAGTGAAAATTAAAAAAAACATTGTTTCATGAATTTTGATTAATGAATTTTCATGAATTTTGATAAATTGATTAAAAATTAAACCAATTTTTTGATTTTTCAAAATTTTTTTGTTTTTAAATAAACTTCGAAAAAAGTTTTGATATAAAAAAATTGGTTTTTTTTCATTTAATGAAATGAATAAATATTGGGGAAAAATTTAAAAAGATTATTAATCAATTAAAAAAAATTTTTTTCAAAATATTAAAAAATTTTTCAAAATATTTTTTTCAGTATGGTAAAAAATTTTTTTTTCGAAATAATCGGAAATTTTTTAGTTTCTTCAAAAAGTTTTTTTTCAAAATAGTAAAAAAAATTTTTTTAGTAATTGAAAAATTGTTGGTTTAAAATTTAAAAAATATTATTTTAATTAAAGAAAAAATATTTTTAAAATTAAAAAAGAATAGGTGGTGGTATTAGAAAAAAATAATTTTATTAAAAAGGATTTTTTAAAATTAAGTGAAAAAATTTTTTTTAATAATTGAAAAATTGTTGGTTGAAATTAAAAAAAATATTATTTAAATAAAGAAAAAATATTTTTAAAATTAAAAAAAAAGAATTGTTGGTGGTGTTAGAAAAGAAATTATTTTATTAAAAAGGATTCTTTAATAATTAAGAGAAAATAATTCAAAAAATTAATTTAAAAAAAAAGAATTAATTTCAAAAAATTCTTTAAAATTCACTCTCCTCATGTTCTTCTTCTTTGACGTTTTTAAAGAGATACCCACATTTTGTAATATCAAAAGAAGGTAGTTTAACTTTGTACGTATATCATTTACATCTCAAATTAAGAAAAAAATTTTATATAGAAAAAATTTTTTATAGAAATAATATTTAATCAAATTTTTAATTAAAAAAATTTTCATGTATAAATAAAATTTTTTTATAAAAATTTTTTTATAAAAATATAAAAATTTTTTATAGAAAATTTTTTTTTAAAAATCTGTATAGAAAAATTTTTTTAATTTTCTAAAAATTTTAATTCAAAAAATTTTTAATATTATAAAATTATTAATATTTGAAAATTTTAAAGTTACTACTTGTATCTAAATTATTGAGGAAAATTTTAAAGTTACTACTTGTATCTAAATTATTGAGGATATTATATGTGCATATAAATTTTAAAAAATATTGATCTTCAAAGTAATATTAATCTTCAAAGTAGTTGTATTCTTCAAAGTAAAAGGGGCGGGGCACCCAGACAAGCCTAAACCTTTAGGAAAGTGCGGTAAAAAATGGAATAAGTACGTATGACTAACTACTTAAATCTTATTAAGAATATCATAATGATTACTACATAGATCCAAAAATTCAAATTAATTCAAAAATTCAAATTAATTCAAAAATTCAAATTTAATATTGCTGTGTGAAGGGGTCATGCCCAAATTTTTCAAAAATTGACTACTAATATTAAATAACTACTATAAAAACAACCACTTTTACTAATTCTACGACCACTTTTTGCTTTCTTTCTTGCTTAAATTCTCTATCCATTTATTTTTCTCTTGGTGGCGCATAGCTTGGGGTTGCATTTGGTCCATTTCTCTTTTCGCCTCGACACATAAAGAAAAGTGGTTGTCTGTTGAGTAAAATTGAAAAAGTGGCTGTGTGTTTGCGAATTGTAAAATAAAGTGGTTGTTTGCACAGGAAATGGAAAGGAAAAATGTATAGGAAAATAAATAATTCTCGACGTAGCAGATTTCAAGTCCTACCGTGTTACTTGATGCCCTATTATGTAAATTCTTAGCATCCAATCAACTTGATTATGGTACAATCTGAAGACTCAAATGTGATACTTTGATTTTTAACCGTTTTAAATCGATTTCTGTTCATTTAAATTGGCTAGGGATCTATTAATTTTTGAGTGTGGCCGAAGGTCGAGAGTTCACGCCGAGATTATTGCGGTTTTTGGTTTATTTCACGAAGGGCAAGCATGAATTCATCTGAGAATAAATTCTCTGCTGAAAATAAGAAATTCGTTCTAATCTCGATGAAAGAGAAAAAATTTGATACTAAATATGTAGCCTTTTGGCTGGATTGGTGAAGTGAAAAGTTGAGATTTTGTGTTGAGACGAAGCGTCCTCGTTGAAGGATATGAATTTTATGCCAATTCATTGCTGAATTGGCAGGATGAACATTCGGTCGGTTCGAAGCAAACTTTTGAGTGCTCGTAAAGTCAGCAAGTGACCCGAGATTGGTTGAGACCAAATCTGTCTCGCCTCGTGTGTCGTTCTGGCGCCTACCATGTTCGAGTACGTATTTATGCAGCTATCGCTTTTTTGGGTAAGATTTGATTTCTTCGGAATTCGGTAGTGAAACTTACCTGAATTTACGAGATATCTGGTTGATCCTGCCTGAACTGATGTGTTCATTTCAAAGATTAAGCCATGCATGTATAAGTTTAATCGTTTTAACGAGAAACCGCGAACGGCTCATTACAATGGCCATGATTTACTTGATCTTGATTATCTAAATGGATAACTGTGGAAAAGCTAGAGCTAATACATGCACCAAAGCTTTGTCCTCTCGGAAAAGCGCATTTATTAGAACAAAACCACGCGGCTTCGGCTGCTTCTTGTTGACTCAGAATAACTAAGCTGACCGCATGGCCTTGTGCCGGCGGCGTGTCTTTCAAGCGTCCACTTTATCAACTTGACGGGAGCATAATCGACTCCCGTGGTGGTGACGGATAACGGAGGATCAGGGTTCGACTCCGGAGAAGGGGCCTGAGAAATGGCCACTACGTCTAAGGATGGCAGCAGGCGCGCAAATTACCCACTCTCGGCTCGAGGAGGTAGTGACGAGAAATAACGAGATCGTTCTCTTTGAGGCCGGTCATCGGAATGGGTACAATTTAAACCCTTTAACGAGTATCAAGCAGAGGGCAAGTCTGGTGCCAGCAGCCGCGGTAATTCCAGCTCTGCTAATACATAGAATTATTGCTGCGGTTAAAAAGCTCGTAGTTGGATTCGTATCGGTACCCTGGAACCCTCCGGGTGTTTCTGGGTGTTATTGATTTATCGTAATGTTCGGTTTTGAGTCCTTAACAGGATTCTTAACAGGCATTGCAAGTTTACTTTGAACAAATCAGAGTGCTTCAAACAGGCGTTTTCGCTTGAATGATCGTGCATGGAATAATAGAAAACGATTTCGGTTCAATTTTATTGGTTTTACGGACTGAGATAATGGTTAACAGAGACAAACGGGGGCATTTGTATGGCCCCGTGAGAGGTGAAATTCTTGGACCGTGGCCAGACAAACTACAGCGAAAGCATTTGCCAAGAATGTCTTCATTAATCAAGAACGAAAGTCAGAGGTTCGAAGGCGATCAGATACCGCCCTAGTTCTGACCGTAAACGATGCCAACTAGCGATCCGCCGATGGAAATTATATTGCCTTGGTGGGGAGCTTCCCGGAAACGAAAGTCTTCCGGTTCCGGGGGAAGTATGGTTGCAAAGCTGAAACTTAAAGGAATTGACGGAAGGGCACCACCAGGAGTGGAGCCTGCGGCTTAATTTGACTCAACACGGGGAAACTCACCCGGCCCGGACACTGTGAGGATTGACAGATTGATAGCTTTTTCATGATTCAGTGGATGGTGGTGCATGGCCGTTCTTAGTTCGTGGAGTGATTTGTCTGGTTTATTCCGATAACGAGCGAGACTCTAACCTACTAAATAGCTGGTACATACTCTTAGTGTACACAGCTTCTTAGAGGGATTTGCGGTGTTCAGCCGAAAGAAATTGAGCAATAACAGGTCTGTGATGCCCTTAGATGTCCGGGGCTGCACGCGCGCTACACTGGCAAAATCAACGTGCTTGTCCTACCCTGAAAGGGGCGGGTAAACCATTGAAAATTTGCCGTGATTGGGATCGGAAATTGCAATTATTTTCCGTGAACGAGGAATTCCAAGTAAGTGCGAGTCATCAGCTCGCGTTGATTACGTCCCTGCCCTTTGTACACACCGCCCGTCGCTGCCCGGGACTGAGCCATTTCGAGAAATTTGGGGACCGTTGATTTAATTTTTCTAAATTACTTTGATGGAAACCAATTTAATCGCAGTGGCTTGAACCGGGCAAAAGTCGTAACAAGGTAGCTGTAGGTGAACCTGCTGCTGGATCATTACTTTATGTGATGTTCAAATTCGAATTCGCAACAAAAATATTTCGTTGTGAAACGGCTGTCGCTGGTGTCTAGGTGTTGCTGATACAGTTGTGAACGTCCGTGGCTGTATATGTGGTGACATGTTAGGACTCTAATGAGTTTAAGACTTAATGAGCCTCAAGTGAGGACGCCAGCACTCTTTTTTTCTCTATATTTAAAAAAAACGAAAATTTCTAGCCTTATCGGTGGATCACTCGGCTCGTGGATCGATGAAGAACGCAGCAAACTGCGATAATTTGTGCGAACTGCAGAAACCTTGAGCACAAAAGTTTTGAACGCATATTGCCGCATTGTGGTCAAACCCTTTGCTACGTCTGGTTCAGGGTCACTTTTCTTTTAAAGCGAAAGCTTTTATTGTATATTGCTTTTTATGCTATATATTCTAAAATGATTGTTGTATTTATTCTAATTGTTAAGCATAACAAAAATAATTAATTTTTGACCTGAACTTAGTCGAGAGCACCCGCTGAACTTAAGCATATCAGTAAGCGGAGGAAAAGAAACTAAATAGGATTCCCCCAGTAACGGCGAGTGAACAGGGAAATGTCCATCGCTAAATCATTTTGCCTCAGGCATTATGAGGTGTAGCGTATAAGCCGTAATTTTTGATCTATTGTCTCAAACAAGTCCCCTTGACTGGGGTTCCACAGAAGGTGCAAGTCCTGTACATTGAGATAATTGATCAATATTTGCGTCTTTAGAGTCGGGT